TAAATATGAGGTGTGATAAAGTAAAATTTCAAAGCACACTTATTCAATATAAAAATCCTGATAACTCTGATTAGCACGTTTATTCGATAATGTTTTAATGCATTGTTTTGAAACTTCAGATGATTTGTGATAAGTTCATAACAGTCAGATGTTGTGAGCTCCATATTTCAACATCAAAGAGGCTGCACTGAAAAGTTTTTTTCATGAGACAGAATGCATAATATGCCATACATACCATATGTATATGCTTATCGTTTTTTTTTACTCTTCTTTTCTTTTCCCGTAGTACTATATAAATGTGAGTACTGATACACTAGCTGTATTGACTCTTTGTTTTAAATGGAATAAGCAAGATTATCTTCCGACTATGTAATCGAGATCATGATTTTCTCCTAAAAACAGTATACTAAAAGCATAGCAGAGCACGAATGGCCCTATTCAAACTAGTGACGCAAAAGGTAGACTAATAGACAATCATGGACACAAGAAAGAGAGTGAAGAAAGAGAAGAGAAAAATAAAAACAAAATACACACGTTGTAGCATAATTACCTAATGTTATCATCACGCGTTGTAAGAACCAATTATCAAACTTTCTTCATTATGGTATGAAGGATCATCATGTATCATAGAAACACAATATTGCTTTCTCTATAATTACATGGAAAGAGAAAGTGTTCTTCTATCCTCTATACGAAATTAAAGAGAGTTCGATATTATATTTCAATAGTTCAAAGTATCTTTTAACTTTTCATATTTTTTTCAACCTTTTCTGTTACGCCATTTTCCGCTTGTTTTCTTTTTCCATTTTGTCTGATCTTTTTTGTTTTCTTGCCATTTTCTATCTTTTTTACTTCAACATTTTTTAAAAATATTTCGATGCATGATTAATAATTGTTACTTTGATGAATTTCTATTTTCAACATAATTTGCTTTCTTCTTCTCTACACTTACCAAGTAAAAGTTAACAGAAATTTTTTTGAAGATACTAAGGCAAGAGCGCTCTGACAGAACACTGAATTATAACGGAGCATAAGTACATTTTCAGCTACAAACAATAACCGTTAGTGATCATTTGTGCACATATATACACAGTGACGACATGTCCGATGAATGTAATCTCAAAACAACGCAAGTACTTGATCAATCTGGGAATTCTAATATGGAGATTATTAGAAGCGAGCAATACAAAACTAATAACGACAAAAATGAATCGAATTTGTTTAAAATTGATAATTGTATTAAAGACGATCAGGTATGTATTCATCGTCTGTTTAACAATGAGGGTTTTGTTTCATTTTGGAGTGACAATTTTAATTGTAGGTAAATTAAAGAAATAGTAACTTAAAATGGAGATAAATTCTAATTTCAATATCTAAATCAAGAGACGTTTTTTTTATATTAATTGATGTTGAATTTGAATTCTTTCAACTTCGTCAGTGATTAAATTAATTTTCACATCAGATTGTTCTACTTTTTTGAAGTTTAATTAGGATATATGTCATGGTAAGTCCATTTCTTCAATCGTTCTTTATCTGTCGAAAGATCCTACTCTATAGTAAAACCAATTTTTCGTGACCCTATTCCACTTGGTTTCAGCATGGCTTGAAACAATTCAATCGAACCCAACTCTACGTCAAAATTTTTTCATTGATCCAAACCGAATACGATTCGACTCGACCCGAACAGAGGTCAAAGATATCTTTTTATAAAGAATAAGAAGTTTTCTGCACAAATTAACAATCTTTTTGTGTATCTATACGAACTGTTGATATTTGATACTAGAGAACCATTATCTCATCTGATATCACGGACTATCTTGTGGAAAGTTTGAAATCGACTGACTGTTAGTGCCGAATCCGATCATGCGGTGATCTGATAGCAAACAGCTGCGAGTCCATACTTTTTTAGACCTAAACTGCATTGGGTCTGAACCCAATTGTTTATTAAACAATATATTGCACCCTCTGTTTACATGAATAGATAAACGTACAGGGCTTTAGGTCTTCATTAATCATTTTAAAAATAAAGTGAATCTACAGTTATTTCTTGTTCATTTGTGCACTATTAAATGGTAGAGCCGTGGGTCCATTTTTTCTTGATCCCGGGCTCGGATCTGGAAAGATCTGCAGATCCTTATCTGACCCTATCACGTCATGACTTGATCCTTGCTTCTTTTCGATCTCCTCGTACATTACAATTATTACTAACCTTGAAGCAAGTTACTGAGCAGCCGCCCAGGAACAGAAAAAGTTATTATAAACAGATAGAAGCGAGCTGTCGATGAAGTTGAAATATCAGTTTACATTTTTGTCATTCAATCAAACTTTGTTAATTTAATCTCATCATCTTAACAGTAAAGATTCGTCATCTTGATTGTTATTTGTTGATAGTTTTTTACCACCGAACACCGTTTTTGTGTATAGTATATGAGAAGAAGTGTTAAGGTCTTGTGTTTGCTTTCTTTGCATTTAAGTACTGTCAGCAACGAAGGATTAAGAAACAACATCAACATAGAAAGAAAAAACGAAGAGTAACGAAAACAGTTTATGATCACATATCTGAAACAAGAGTTGGGTGTAATGGGGAAGAGATAAATGATGATCACTCTGCCCGAGCAGTAAGTTTTCAAGTCGAGAACGATTGCTTAAGGAAATCTGACGATCAAAATACATGGTCAAAGGAAGAGGGTACCACTGATGATTCAAATACGATGATAACAGAGAAAAATGCCAACATAACTACCGTTGAGGAGGATACAAGAAACAATCGTCTAATTACAGCTGGTGGTGTAACTGGCATTCATGATACTCTTGAGCCTGTGATAGGATATGCTGCAGCACCTTCGTTACCACTTCATGAAGCATGCATGCCATTATCCGATATTCTATACAACCTATCATTCTACGTGGAATTAGCACTCAGTGAAACATCACAAGAGCCACCGGATGGATTAACTGTGGACGAGAGTGCTGCGATTCGTCTTTATACTATTGAATGGGAAAAACCTCATCGAAGTCTCTATTCAATGCTTAATTATACTCTTAAAACTACTCTACGTGAAGAACTTCGACCTTATTTCAATTATATGAAGTTGTTCTTGACTGCTCTTGCCAAGTTACCCTGTATTTCACCATTAACAGTTTGGCGAGGTGTAGCAAAAGACTTAAGTTCTGAGTTTCCACCAGGCACCCTTGTAACATGGTGGGCATTTTCTTCGTGCACTCAGGCACTGTCTGTATTGGAAAATGATATGTATCTAGGTTCTGAAGGTGATAGAACTCTTTTCTCAGTTGAAGCAATCAATGGTCGAACGGTGCAAGCTCATTCACACTTCGTTACAGAAGATGAAATTCTTCTTTTGCCTGGCACCCGCATGAAAGTTCAATCACAGTTTAGTCCTGCAGCTGGTCTTCATATTATTCATTTGAAGCAAATAAAACCAACCGAAACTCTTCTCGAGCCCCCATTTGAAGGTAAATTGGAGAGTGCAAGAAAGTTATGAACAAATGCTTGAATGCTTTTATTTTAGGAGCTCTCCTCTATCCACCCGAGAACAAGAAAATACCTTGGTACAAAAAGAAACGAACGCTATTTGAAATAGCTGTAATTGTCATAATCTGCATTGCTGGTATGATTGTTGGTGCAGTACTTGGTTCAAGACGACCACCACCACGTCCCTGTACGTTAAATTAGTTTTCGTCTTTTATTTCCATCTCGAACTAGCAGAAATTTCAGAAATTAATGCATCACGAGAAACAAGAAATTGATTAAAATAACACTTCACTTCGAGTTTGCTGGACAGTTTTTATGAGCAAGTCATTAGGAGTATGTAAAGTTCCGATGACAGATTTGAAAAAATACATCCTATTCCTCGATGTTGAACATTTCGACAGCAGTTCCATCCAATACCGGAATCGCAACTTCGTAGGCTTACTCAAATCTGTCGCCAAACATCCTATCACCAAACTTTGAAACGAAACTCTGCGAGCTGAGTCAAGAGAGAATTGGACCTAGATAAAACTGGACGGAGTTCCTGGGAATTTCTTGAAATTCTGTCATATTCCGTTCGATTTCGCCTGGATTCAACTCCCTAATTCCCTACTGGAGTCGGGTAGTATGAAGAGGATTGACATATATCAGTTGATCTCAAGTATTATAATTTTTGAAATAGGCTAATTCTTATATTCATTTCATCATCAGAAACATGTTTTTCATAGTTTTCTTGAAGCTGATCTAGGTAATTTATTACTTTTTTGAATTTCTAAGTCTAAAAGATATTGTATTAGTGCACTATTCATTCTTGCAAGTAAAAACTTACTATAAAGAAATCTTTTGAATTTGTTTTTGAGTCCTAGATAATGCTACATAGGTAGAAAAAATAGAGACTATGGTCAGAAACTTTTATCATATAAGCATAAGTGGAAAATCTTTGATGTTCACATAAATCTAGCAAATCTATCTCTCAGAAAACAGTTTTTACAGAAGAGAAATATCTTTTGTCTATCAGAAAATTCTTCTTGGTGGATTTTTGAGAAAAATGAGAACTTTTATGATCGAACAAGAAGTGTACTCGTACTTTTTTTCCGTCTTTTGATAATAATTCTTTATGTATTTAGTATGTTGGCCTTGGAAACCGAATTTACTAATGGATTATTTTTGGTCATTTGATTGTGATGACGCTCGAGAGGATTTGACTGGTTTATACAATGGTACATTTGTAAATGGTTACGAAATCGTTTCACCTGACTTTTCTGGACAAGGCAAGGCGTTGTATTTGGATAGAAAACAATATCAATACGTTATTTTACCTCGTTCATTAAATCTAACACTCAATACAAGCTTCACAGTGTCTGCTTGGTTATTAGTAGCTGGTTATGGTACGAAAACTATTTTAAGTGATTGTAATAACTTTAATTCAATATGTATCAGCTTTATCATTACTGATACAACTATTAACATTCAAGTTTCAAATTGGGATAATGCAGCTTTACTACAGGAAATCTCTGTTTCTGTCGTAGACTATATTTGTCAATCTTGCTGGATACATGTAGCGTACTTATTTGATCATCGTACTAGATTAACTATTTTCTATTTCAATGGTATAGAAATCGATAGAAACTATTTAAATTTAACTTATGAAAACTCATCGCGAGTGAATCAAACCAAAGTGTCCTATATAGGACTAAATGCAGTCACAAAGGCGCAGCCATTCTATGGTTTGATTGATAGTTTATGTCTTTTATATGCAGTGAAAAACGCTAGTGTCATTCGTTATGAAGCGACCATATTATGTCAATATAGGTTCAATAGCGACGATATCAATGCTGGATGGGGTCCGAATAATATTCGAGCACGTAGTCAACATGTCTATCGATCATGGTGGAACAATCAGAGTAGTCTTCTTTTCAATGATAGCGACTCTTATTTTCAATCGAGTGGATTCACTCTGTTGCACTCAAATGCGTATGAATATTCGATCGCTTTCGGGCTTCGTTTAAAAATACAGAAGTCGGAGAAACCTAACAGTGCTATAGCAGTGCTACAGCTAACATCTTCGATTCCAGCACTATCAGCAGACAGTTATACATGTGTCATGAGTATACATGTTTACCCAAATAATCAGACTCTGGGATATTTGTTTCCGAGTATTTTCCAAATACTCAATGTTAGTGGTTCATTCATTGGAAATAACACTTGGGTCCATATTGGTGTAGCATACCAAAGTCCCGACACATATTTATTATATCAAAACGGTGAGATGATTGCTAACTACACGCATCGACGTTTCTCATTGGCTATAGCTGATGATCCACGATTTTCTATAACCATCGGAGGTGCATACTTGGCTGCTTCTGATTCAAACTTACCTGATAATTTCGAACAAATGAAATGTTTTGCTAAAATTCCAACTTTTAATTATACGAAGATGTATGGAGAAATAGATGATTTAACATTTTACTCAAGAGTGTTAGATGCATCGGAATTTTCAATGTTGGCTGAGACTCATATTGCATAGATCTCGTATGAATAATTATGACAATTTACTTAAACATAAAGTTTATTAGTAGCTAGACTATTCTCTATCTACGCTGATATCTCGAACAAATTGTGTCGAGTTTATGCAACAATTATTTGCTTTGCTATTCACAAATAGGTTTACTCTGTCTCAATTTTATAAGTGTAACAACTAACCTTCTTTGAACTTGTAGAAGATATTCCTTAAAATTTCTATGCTTAGGCGTCATAGAAAGTTTAGGATTTTCTATTGTGGACCAGGATTTATATTCTATTTTTTAAATATTTGCTAAATTTTCAAAGAAACCATAGATGGATTCAGAGGACTCATTTTCGACACCCGAAAATTCTTTGAATTCAGAAAGGCTCAAAGCTTTTCGTACCAAAAGATAAACCATCAAAGATAAAGAAATGCACCACAAACAATATTATGGTCTAGCTGAAACCTTTTTACGACGTTTAACTAAAGAAGATTAGAATAATAATACTAATTGACTTTTAAATATGTCAGATACTTGAAACCTTGCGACGCATTTATTAATTTCACTGACGCTGAAATAATATGTTTAAGCAAGATAAAATTAATATTCTATGATCATGTGTTTGTCTGCTGTCATTATTCAATGGAGTACTTCATTGTCGACACAATCTACTCTTCCTTTCCTCCATAGATGCAAAAATTGCTTAAATTAATCGAAAGAGATCCTCATAACATGATAAAATCCTCAAATACATCAGGCACAACATGATTGAAGAGTTAAATATTTATTTTACTGAATTGAGAATTAAATGTGCGGTTTTTCTCTTGAAAATGTCCTTTTCTGTGATTCAGCATGACAAGATTGATAATAGGACAGGAAGGGAGAGGACAGAACAATTCGTTCTGCATTGATCTCTGTTCAGCATTGCTCTCAATTCTCTAAAACTTTCTACGTAAAAATTAGAATCTGTGATCCCTTTGTTCGCATTCTGATTGATCTAAAATTGTCACCATATTACTCAGCCATATAAGTGCTATTTCGAGCTTCTTTCGAAGCTCTTAATAGGTTTTATAAGGTGAGAAACTCAGATGTGGCGTGGATGTGAGTGTGGGGGTGGGTGTGGGTGTGAGTGTGGTTGTTCATTGTTCATCCACACCCCACACCAGGGTGGCCAGATGAAAAATTTTAAAATCAGAAAAAATAATTTAAAAATCAGGAAATTGGCAGAAAAAAGATTCATCGAAATCAGAAGAAAATCAGAAAGTGTGTTCAACGTGAAATATCAGCACTGATGTTTCCTATATCATTCGTATCGGTCGAAAAATGCAGATCTGTTTCGATTACTCCCGTAACCGACGACTAGCCGCGGTTATTTTCTTTGTTCTCACGATTTTCCACGGGAAAACTCGACAGTTAATCTCAGTCAAGCTTCTAGTTAACCGGATTAGCAATCGGTAAATTGTTAGCTGATCACTAAGTGATCTGATTCACTGAGAGGTTAATCGTGGGTTTTTACAATGGAAAATCATGGGAACAAAGAAAATAACCACGGTCAATCGACGGTTATGACAATAACCGAAATAAGCCGTCGGTTTTCACTCAGTACTCCTGGCGTGGGTTGGTCTAATATAGAACCTATTTTTCGAATTCAANTCCATTTTTTTCCTCTTTGGTACCCTTGCTATTGGAAACACTGGGTTCCAGAAAGTACCGTTTTTTTTACAGTGTAGAGACGCATCTGTTTCACCATCAAATCACATATAATTTGTCTTTCGTATTTAATCTTCAGTAATAACCTGCCATCTAGAAGTTGTGTTTCAAGGGAGGATAAAAGCACAAATCATTTATCGAAACAAAAATAACTCTTTCCTTTCTGGCTAAATTAGACTTTTAAATCAATATTTCTGTTGCGTCATTTAAAGAAAGAAAAAAAGTGGGAGATTGTATTAGTCAGTTCAGAAAAACATCGACCATCGATAGTATGTCCACGGGTGTTGATTTCTCGCAAGATGTGAAGAAAATAATGTTCAATGTGATCCAATTTGTGGAACGTGAAAAGAGCGGTTGTTTAATTCCATTGAACAACGTAAATGATCGTATTAAATCTATGCTTGGTATATCAATGACATCGGTTGAAAGACTGAAGAGAGAAATAAAAGAACAAAAAGAAGAAATGTTGGAAGAAGAAAACGAACTGCTTGTACTACATAAGAAATGGAATCAGGAAAAACAAGATAAAGAAGATGCTGCGTTTCGAGCGACACTTCGGCTTCGACATCCACGTACAAGTTCATCATCAATTTCTGTTGCACCGTATACTACTACGAAAATTTTCATGTCTGTTGCTAAACCATCACGGAAAAGTAGTCATGTTGGGCGCTCAGCAATCGTTTTGACAGATGACCAAAAAGAAAATATTCGGTAAGTACACTTGAGAGAATTGAGGGTGTGGGTGTGGGTGTAGGTATAGTGTGGGGTGTGAATGTGCGATGGTGCCGATGTGATTTCTTGAATGGCCAATACCCGCACCAACCCACACTCACACCCACCCCACACCCACACCCTCAAGATCAGGACCGGAGCCGGGACCGGGACTGGAAAAAAATTTGGATCGGGACCGGGACTGAGAAAAATTTTGTACCGGGACGGGGACCGCTACTAAAAACAATTTTAACCGGGACTGGAAAAAGGTCATTTTGCAGATCCCTAGCACAGGAGCAAATAGTTCAGCAATTTTTTAATTTTCTAGGCTATGGAATATATCCCGTATGAGAACTTGGCTCGAATGTAAAAATATATGATTTCTCTATTTATTCAGATATCATTTCACTGCTACTATGTCGCATCAAAACACTTTCGTCGACAAGTTTTCATTGTACTTTCGTTCAATTACCAACGGCGAAATCGAGTACAACCATGACGACGATAATAAGTCGTCGACCTGTTTGCAAAGAAAAAACAAGAGAGATGTAAAATTTTACCTCTCCTCATCCACACCCTTGACAATTGCAGCGACTAATGTCAACTAAATAATTGTTTTTGAATAAAATTTTTATTTTGTCAGATTGAAGCATTCTTTGTCAACAATGTTGTTCGGTTGATATGTTGAGAACAACGATCGAACACTGTTTCATATACTTTTGATTGGCAATATTTGAAGATGTTGCTGGAAAATTACCTCATGAAAATAAACTGGAGTTCAAGAATTGACACCAGGCATAGGTTCGAAATTTTCAATGGGTTTGTTCGATGACGCAGTTTCTAGATGTATAAATGATCAAAAAAGTTGATCATTTGTTCAATTCATCCCAGTCGATTTTGCTCAATGACAGCCTGATTCACATCCATATCTAGATCATGATTAAGCTGGTCAACTAGCCGATAAATAGTGTCGTCGTACACAAATATGAGTAAAGATTATCTAACATCTCACGACAGCTACACAAATTCCATTTCCACAGTTTATTGAAAGAATTAATTATCCAATCATCAGCTCCCCTGCCATTCACTCATACTTCTCATCCGTTCGTCCTATTCGATCAGTTTCTCTTTTATGATTCATTCATGATTACAAATGAAACTGCTTCTCAGTGAATAATATTTTCTTTCTTATTCTTACTTGTTTTCTAGACAAGATTTCAAGTTACAATGTTCAATCTACCTTACAATTCTCTCTCAATCTCTTGATTACCAATATTTCGATTTCATCCAAGTATGGCTGAAGAAAGTGTCTTGTTGAAAGAAGGGCAAAAGGGACTTAGAGTATGGGTGTGAAAGTCCATTGATAATTCATCGAAGAACAACGAATGGAAACGATATACGGATATTGAAAATCGAATGATTGAACATGCATATGAACGTGGCATAGAGCAGATCGAACTAGACGAGTTTGTCATTGATCTTAAGCGTCAAATTCAAATTAGTAAACAAGACTCTCACGAGCAATGTCCAGTAGAACGACTAACAAACGTGATTGACACAAATAGTTATGTCAGAATTCATCGATTTGTTTGGGAATGGCCACAATTGATCGAGAAATCCTTTAACCCAGGGCCGAACTCGTTTTTAAGTGCTACTGGTTGTGACAATATACCATTAGAACCAAGAACCATTTGGCGAATTACTGATGGCATTCGAGAACTGGGTGTCATTGTTGGTAAAGCAAAGGAAGCTGAATATATTGCCGAAGAACTCAAGCAAATATCTGGGATAGTCTTTGGTCGGCAGGAGTCAATCATTCACTATTTAATTCGTTTATATACAATGGATAGTTTCTTATACAAAGTCGTCAATCATGTTATGAGAAACGCCGAGCACAGTTTTGGTGAATTCGCGACAGAGCAAGACAAAACCTATGCAAGATTATTGGGACCGTATTGTGGTTTACTGTCAGGTTGTCTTAAGTGGTGTCCTCCATTAGATTGCCATCAAGCAGAAACTATTCTATATCGCAGTGCCAATGTAACTGATAAAATGATAGAAAGTTATAAACAATTCATAGGTAAAATATATTTCATGGGAAGCATTTTCAAGCACAACGAAAAATAAAGCGATGGCACTTCTCTATGATGGCAATACTATCTTTCACATTCATGTACCAACTAATCCAGATGGATGCATTGCTGATATCTCCTCATTATCACAATTTCCTGAAGAAGAAGTTCTACTCGATGCTCAAACGTTTCTTATGGTCAAGAAAGTCGAACAGGATCAAATTTTGAATAAGTACATCATTCACTTGCAAGTTTCTGATTTCAAATTTCGTGGTCAACAACATAAACAAGACAATAGTTCCGTTCGTGATACATTTATTTCGTCTACCGATAATCCCTCCGATGACGGCGAAATTCATGAAGAAATATGAAAATAAAAGTATTGAGCAGTGACAGAATTGCCAACGGTGATAGAGAATCGATGAAATGAGATATATTGCTGGTGAGCTTCGACGTGAGTGTTATGCTGGATGTATATAAATAAATTGCTGAGTCATTCTTACTCACGGATCATCTGTATGTCTTTTTCATAGGCTAGAAAATCTTGTATTTTTATTGTTTGGTCAGTGTCACCCTAAGGTTGTGTCGCCTGTGCAGAAGCTTGATTCATTTTTTCTAATCAGTCTTCGAGCACTAAGAAGTTTGCCCATGTCACCCTCATAGGCCAAGTCAAGATATCGAATCGACAAAGTCCGACTTACCAAAAGAATTCGATATCATATTAAATGCTTCTCTATCGTGTTATAATTATTTTATTGACATAGAACTTGATTGATGCAAAATCGATCTAATGTGTAGTTACAAAAAACATTGTGTGTAATATCATCCAATGCGTATGATCATCATTATACCAAACATATACTCATGCGTTCATAGTATCGATATCCATTGCTGCGAAGCCAACTTTGAGACTTATAAATTAGACTCATACTTCATTGCAGATTTATTCAGTATTCTTCCAGTCACATTCTCGATCAGAAAGCGATGAAAAGGTGGAGTTGGACGACTGATATGTCTCTATCTTACTATCAGGCCTCTCTGTATACTCTCACACACGAAGTATATGAAGAACGTATATCATTTGTAGAAGAAAAGACTAAAGAAGCAAATATTAGTAGTATGACACATGAATAACGGTTGTTTTAAGAGAGAAAAAGGTGATAATGCAACTCATATGGCTGTACTCTACCTTTAACTCGTTGCGTCAGTCTTCGAAGAACGGAGAAAAGAAAAAGAGTCGATTTTGACAAACAACGCACAAATAGTCATAAAGGTAAAGTGACATCTTTATTACAATTGGCTACAGTAGAAAATTCACATCGATTCAAATCTTCAAGGTAGCAAATGTCGCAAAAGGTGTGTGGATGTTGATGGGTATGGGTGTGGACGTGGGTGTAGGTGCGGATTAATAGAACATTTACATCCACATCCACACCCTTCAATGGATTTATGAGGAATCGAATAGATCTGAAAAGAATTCGGGAGATCCTGCTTAATGGTTTTATAATTTTGTACAATAATATATAGATATTTTGCTGGATTAATGATACGACAGAAATATCAAAGTCTCTCGAGTTCTAGAAGCGTGTCGTTGTTGATAAAATTAGGCATTCAGTAGGGTGTGGGTGAGTGTGGGTTAGTGGGTGTGGGTGTGGGTGTGGATGTGGGTGGGTTAGTGGGTGTGGATGTGGGTGAGTGTGGATATGGGTGTGGGTTTGTGGGTGTGGGTGCGGGTGTGTCTGGGTCTGGGTGTGGGGTGTGGGTGTGGGTGTTATTGAAGTGATGATCCACACACAAACTCACACCCACACCCACAACCACACACCCATACCCACACCCACCCACACCCACACACCTCACCGGACCTACGAGGAAACCAATAGACCCGAAACGAATTCCGGAGACCCCGNTACATTTATCTTAAAAATTTCAGCAAATGAATGTATTTATTTCACCAGCTTAGATAGATTCTACAAAGTGACAACCTTTGTTTATTCGATATTTTCATACGAATCTTCCGAAAAAAGTGATTCACACAGTGAATCATATTAACCAGAGCCCATTACTTTTCATCTTTTTTCAATAGACAATCCTATTCGAGTGCGCCTAAGTCAGTTTTAGAAACCATCTTTAGTATCAATCTTAGAATGTTGTGTATTACGTAGGAATCAATAAATTCAATATCATATTTTATTTGAATTCTGATGGAAAAATAACCTTCTACATAATAGAAGAGAAAAATTGATTTTTTTGTTGGGAGAATCGAATATATATATATCGGCATCCAATGTCGGATTGGAGAGAAAGGCTTCGTCAAAACTTGATTTTGTCTCTGGACCGATGTCACGTTCGAATTCTAATTGATCACCTTTAAGGAAGCGATGGGTTTCCACTTAATGCAAGTGTCACTTGATTAATTAAGTTCAAATTCGTAAAGTTATAGACGGTTTTACACATAAGGCCAGATTTTATGGAAAATTGCCCATAACTCTTCGACTCTGAAATTAGTTTTTCCATTGTTGATCGTAAGGCCTGTGAAGCCATAGTTTTATTACAGTTTGTCAACAAGGATTAGGATATGACATCAATCTGGAGAATAATCTAAGTTTTAAGTGAAACTTTCTTCTCAATTCGACATTCGCCTAGACGAAGCCGAGATTGAACGTAATGTCAGTTTAGATCCTGATATATATATATATATATATATATCTTTGAAAAAATATTCCTATCGAAATGACACATCAATTAGAGATAATCATTTTGTATAAATACTCGCAAAACTAAGTGAACTTAGTTCACAAAATTTCTATACTAATTGACTAATAAGACAAAAAATGTCATTTTCGATAGTGTTAAAAGAAAATGAAAACTTACCAGAACTACGTCAAAAATCAGTTCCAAAATCAAGTCTTGTAACGTATCGAAAACGAATATCAGTCAATTTGCAACGTTCGGCATCTAATGATGATTGTAAAAACGCAGAATATTGTGACTGATTAAAATATTTGTATTGCCCTACAGCAAAAAAATTGCCTAAACAATCCTTAAGATCAAATAAATGGATCGTGCCTTCTTGATTACGGACATTTTTTCGCAACTGAACGAAAAAAAAATTGTCCGGAATAGTGACGTCATCAAGGTAAGGCTTCATCCAACCATTCGGCCTTTTTTTAGTGACGTCACTAGTCTGCAAAGCAGAATCGGAGAAGAGCAGGAATACACAAAAATAATCGTATTATAGAATTGATTGAAAAAGATGAAAAGTAATGGGCTCTGGTTAATATGATTCACTGTGTGAATCACTTTTTTCGGAAGATTCGTATGAAAATATCGAATAAACAAAGGTTGTCACTTTGTAGAATCTATCTAAGCTGGTGAAATAAATACATTCATTTGCTGAAATTTTTAAGATAAATGTATAACTATTATTCGATCCAAAATAAAAGGCAGGTTGTTATTTTTGGAATAACTTTGACTGAGCCCAAGATATAGATCTGCAGTTTTCAGCATTCAACAGAGCAATGTTTGGACCATCTATCTGTATAATATTCATTGGAACGAAAGAGCTTTTTCATAGGAGCTTTTCAGTTGACATTCTTTTGCTTGTGTATTTACATTCATTTCTACAATAATTTCTGTTCAGATTACGCCAAATTATAGCTCAAATTAGCCCTTTTTTGCTATAAAATGATCACCATTTTTTGGAAGTGCGCTTGAAAAAAAGAGATCGATGAGATAATGAATAATGTGGTAATTTTATAACGAAAAAAGGCTGATTTATTAAGCCACATTTTGGCGTAATTTGAGCAGAGATTATTGTAAAAATGAATGTAAATATACAAGCAAAAGAATATCAATCTTAAAGCTCTTGCGAAAAAGCTCTTTCGTTCCAATAAATATTATACGGATCGATGACCCAAACATTGCTCTTTTGAATGCTGAAAACCACAGATCTATATCTTGTACTCAGCCAAAATTATTCCTGAAATGGCAAACTGCCTTTTATTTTTGATGCGATGATAGCTTGTTTAGAGACGAAGAATATACTCATATTGATTGTGGATGTCATTAATTGTATATGAATATTGCTTTATTGAGAACATATTTACTAAAATATTCTAAAAACAGTTAAAAAGAGGTTAGTTTCCTGATTTTTACTTTGACAAAATAATGTTCAAATGAAAGATTGGTCATATATATTAGTATTAAGAATTTAATTAAAAGAATATAATAGAGTAAATTACTGAAATAAAATTGTTTGATTCTATTTTCTTACACTTCTATTTATTCGTTTGTTCCTCTTTTTTTTGTTCTATGTTTTCAAGTGAATAATTGCCAATTGAAATTACAGTACGAAGCAAAGAATGTCTATTAAACATTTGAAAATGATGAGAAATGTGAGATCACATTCTAAATGCTAAGAAAACGCATTTCATTACTATTGCTATTAAAAAAGAAGAAAGTCTTTGAAATTTATTTTTAATCATAAAAGAAACAATTGAGCTACTTATTTTTTTTATCATGGATATAATTTTCATTATAACAAGGATTTATTTATAGCATATCATGACGCATGTATTGATAGAAATAAGTTACGTGCAGAAGTTATTGCCTATCTTATTTCAATGCCAGTTCAACTGATTTATCTTCGAACTGAACAATATGATTGGCTTTTACATCTTATTGAATATGTAAGTATTTAAATTTTATTTGAAATTAAATTGAAATCTGATTTTCTACAAAAATCAATATTCATCTAGAAAATAACTATTTGAGTCACCGAATATATTTAATATAATAGAAGTAAAAGTTTTTTTTATCATGAATAAGATTTATTATTTTGTGTCATCTTTGATAAAGTTATTGAACAAGCATTTCATAAACGTTTTTGACATCTTGTTCTGATGATCAGAAATCTTAACATTGTTGACCTAGTTGTATTTTAGATAGACTATAATCAATCTTCAATAATCAATGGATAGTTATGAATGAAATTCTCGTTTTTTCAATGATTTCCTAATGAACTGTTGTACGTTTTCCATTGAAGTGTTGTTTCATCTCTATAATTCGTGTTTCTGTGTTACCGTCAATTTTATGATCACGATCATTCGTGATCTAGTGGCGTAATCAGATGAAAATTAACGAGGACTTGATCCTATAAGACTTCGAGCTCGTTTAGAAGCGGTTGCATCTTGCTAAAAAAAGGCTTGAGTGTTCACTAAGCGCATGGTCAAAAAGATCGTCGGTCATTCTACAAACATGGCCAGGGGAATAAGCTCTCTGAAAAACTTTGTCTAGTTATTTCACTACGGTAATCGTGCTTGATTAAAAGTTTTTCGTTATTGCGACCGTGACCGTGAATTACTAAGAA